TAGCCACTTGTGAAAGAGATGTACTCTTGCTCTGGAGTGTGTTACTGAATATATTAAAGCTGTAGTGAAATGCTTTTTCTAATCATGTAGTAATTTACTTATTCTTATTTTAGGTGTATGGCTGTTTTGCCTGCATGTAAGTATACTCATGCCATGCAATACTTGCCCAGAGGCCACAAAAAAGGGCATGAGTTCCCCTGGAACTGGAGTTAGCTACCATGTGGGTGTTGGGAACCAGACCCAGGTCCTCTGCAAGAACAGTTAGTGCCCTTTACCACTGGGTCATCTTTCCAGTCCCATTTTCTCATTTTGTAAGCACAGCAAAACATCATGAAAATCTCTAATACTGTATGGCATAGTACAGTTTTCAAAGTGCATTTGATCCTCATGGTACTGCTCTTCATTCATTCATTCATTCATTCATTCATTCACTCTGTACACATGTGGTAAGTTCTGCCTGAGGGCCACACACTACTCCAAAGAAACAGGGAATACCCATTTTACACATGAGATGACTGACATTCGCCAAAGCTCACTGCTTTGTTCAAAGCTACATCCAATTAAGTGGCTAAATTCAGATCTTCCAAATCCAAAGTCAGCTTTCCCACTGCCTTCCGCTCTTCCATCCTCCTGTTGGTGTTTATCCACATTGTGCTACTACAGACCTGGAATTTTGCTTGCAGTGGACAGCCAACAGACTAATCTCAAACATGGCTCTGCTCTTGCTGAATATCCGAATGCTCCCAAGCGACTACACTGGGTCAATCTTGTGACCAGAGTCCCTGAGGAACCTGAGACACAAAAAAGAACAAAGATCCTATCTCTGATTAATCTACTCAACCCCACTGAAAAGAACTGCCTAGAATAACCAGCTTCTCCTCAAATGCAGGTGTCTCTCTGAATAGCTCATCTATAGTCACATGACCATGTCATTCAAATCACATGGTTAAAGGTACAGCTGGCTGAGAACAGAATCACTTGGTCAGTAAAGGAAAAGGGAACTGGTACAGGCAACTGTACAGATGATAGGCTAGAGCCAGATGCTTAGAGGTTTTGGAAAGTCAGAAGTATAGGGTGAAGAGGAGAGAGATGATGTGGAAGAATTTAGAATGAAATTAAAATGGGAAGGTACTATTTGGTCCAGCACCTTCCACTCCGTGTATAACTGGGTGGACCCAAAGGTTCCTCATGCTTCCCCAGGAACAAGCAG